ATATTTTATTGGGTCTTAGTTGTAATTTTGTTACTTCTATAGGCCCTAAGGCAATTGTCCTAAAAAGTAACTAGTTAAAATCTTAAAATTTAATATTGTGAAGCAATTGTTGTCCCTAATTTTTTCATTGAAACATATGACATTGTGTTTGACGTATCACATGTTTTTCTAATTAAGTATTTATCAATAAAAAAAAGTTTATCAACCTAAATTAATGATCAAGCAACAATGTTATTATAAATTATATGTTAATCATGATTTGTTAACTAAATATAGTCTGTCAAGAAGAAAAATATCTTGGCCTAAACAATAGTCAACCTCAAAAGATGAAGCACATGTCTTTGTTCAAAAAAATAAGAAGATGAACTTTATGTCATTACGCTTACTCACTAAGAACTTATCAATGAAAAAGAAAAACGTTTGTTAAATCACACTACTATAGATTGAAGGTGATATCGCAAATTATATGTCTATTATTCTAGCTAGCTATAAAAGTGACTCATAAATACTTATATAACTGATGAGAGTATAAACATCTATTACCTGTGACAATACCGTTAGTTGATTATTAGTACAAATTGACAAACTTATTTTTATTAATAAATACTTAGCTAGCAAGCCATGTGATACCTTAAACATAATTGTATTATGTTTCAATAAAAACAAAATGATATGCTAATTGCTTCACGTTATTGAATTTTAAGATGTTAGATATTCCCTTATGAATTAATAATTTAAGAACAAAAATACACTTTAATCTAAACTCAATTTGAAGTTAATGGTCAACATTAATATCTATTAGTCAAAGGATCAATATTGCAACAATTTGACCCTTGATGTATAACATTAATAAATAATTTAGAACATACAATAATGTTTTTAGTAAAATAGTTCAAAGATATAAAAATGCCTATTAACAAACAAATTAAACATGCATCTACATGGTATTGCAAAACTATGAGCTGTAAACACAACGAGTTAATGGTATGCGCTTTCAACTTTAAATAATAAATTTGAGTATGAAATATTCTCAAGTACTGAAGTAATTGGATCTTATCTTCTTTGAACAAAAACATATTCCAATTCTTACCAAAAGGGAATCATTACATAGACCAAACTTTCATTTGAACCACCTTTTAATTTATATATCCCTCATAACAAATAATTTTTCTCGAGCTTATAACCTTCTATGAATTAATAATTTAAATATTGTTATAACTCATATCTCCATGTGCGCACAAATCTTTTGAAGATTCAATCTTGCAAGTTAGGTCTACTTCTTAGAACAAATCTCCATTCCAAATGCAATGCTGCAATATATCAACTTAAAAACCAAAACATCACCACCAAAAACTGATAAGAAATTGACTCAATTTAATTAAAAATCTTGAGTTTGAGACTCAAATCATGAATATGTAACAATAATTAAATTATTGATGAGAAGTATACCTCTAAAGAAATGTTTGCAAGTTAACTCACAAAAAAAATTAGAGTATCAACCCTATTCACACACACATAGAAAGATGTGCAAAGAAAGAAAGTGGGATTTTACTTTTTTTTATATCAAATTATTTATGGGTTTTTGAAATTTGATTGATTAAGATTAAATAAAATTAAACTCACGATTTGACCATGATCATGTACATCTGCAAACAATGAAATTAATATAAATAGTTCCCAGAGAACTTTATTTAGAGACAACGTATATCATTATAGAGAAACTCAAAAATAAATAGAAGAATTAGAAAGTAAAGAACAATATTTATTATTATTATTATTATTATTATTATTATTATTATTATTATTATTGCATTTTCCTTCCTCTTCCAGATCAGGCCATTTTCATTAGGATCTAAGTTCTTCTATATATATAAAATTAATCAATTGCTTATATCTTTAGTAAATTCCTTAAAAAGTACATTTTTGGATGGATTGTTGTGTCGTGTGGTATTGTAAATAAAATGTGGAGAAAGAAACTCTCAAGATCAAGTCCATCACATAAACCACAAGACTTTGTTTTTTGATAGTAAATTTTGAATTAATCAATCAATTAAATAAATAAATTAAAAAGGGAGAATGTTTAAACTTGATAGTCCAAGCCAAGGAGCAAGACACAGTAAAGCAAAACCTGAAATAAATTCAAAATAAATGAAAAAAATAATTTGATTTGACACTTAACCTAACATTATAATATTGAGAGTTTAGGGGCCTCAGGTAACAAAATTCAATGGTTGTCTATTGATGAGCAAGAAGGCTTGAAACTATAAGTATATAAAATTTGAGGGTACATTTATTATTGTCTTATATGAGACAAAGTTGTTCATTTAAGCAAGAAATTAAAGAAGAAGTCCATTTTCTCATTTAAAATTTGTGATAAAAAAGTCTCCTTCTAACAGTTCACATGACTTTCAAAAACTCACATTATTCAAAGATTTTTACACATGTGACTCATCTAAGAAGAAAATTTCAAACCTTTTCATTATTGTTTATGATAAATAAGATTCTTAGCAAGATTACCTCTTTTGTCTTACAAGGTCATTGTTCATTGTATCCAACAATCATACAAATTGTCTATTTTCTAGGCTTTTCTTTTCTTTTCTTTTCTAGAAAAGCATAATTAAGTTGATAGCCTGACCTGATGTTCAGTTGAGCTTTTATAATTATTACTCCCTCCATTATATAAGTAACATTACATTTCACTAATTACTGATTTGCATAAATTTAAAAAGTTCATATTCTTAAAATTACTCTAGCTTTATGAAGATAGTCTAATCAAATGTGATATAGCTTCTGATTTAATTTAACTAATCTTTTTAGTCCTTTTCTCTATCATTATTCATCCCAAGGATCCTATTAAAAACTATTAATTACTTTATAGATTTAGAAAAATGACCTATAGATATGAATATATTAAAAAAAAAAAGGAAGAATCATATTCAATGACTTAACACGAAGCTTATTCATAGACAAGAACCAATACATAATGAATTAATATTAAAATAAAAACATACACTTGTTTGTTCTCAAATAAGACTTTTTTATTAGTTTTTATTTGCAAATAAGCTTCTTGTTAGATTCTTGGATATGATTCTCCCTATAAAAAAAAACTTTTACAAAAATGACATAAATAGAAAGGCATGATATTATGGCAAAAGAAATGAACATTCAACTTATTATAAATTCAGTCCATTATGTGATAATACAAATCCCGCTAATTTTCACCTTGACCGATAGAACATGACCATGTAGTTATATAGATTCCTTGGTAAAGTAATATAATAAAATTGGGGAAATCACTCCCAAATCCCACACAAATAATTTAAATAAAGAGAAGTTTCATAAAATCACAAAATTACTTTTAAGTCTTGTGTCTTTTTCTAAAGTTGTCAGTCATTGTTAGATAGTTGTTAATTACCGGTGCTGAATTATCAATTAAGAAACTTCACTAATAACTATCCAACAATAATTAGCAATTTTAGTAAAGGATGTGAGACTTCAAAGTAGTTTAATAATTTTATAAGATTTTTATATATTTAAATTTCTTGTGTAGGATCTAAGAGTGATTTTCCTAGTTAAATATTAGAATGTAAGAGACCCACATCTTAGTTTTTATATTTATTATTTCTTTTCTCTTTATCTGTATCTGAATACATTATATACATTTATTTTTATGGTCTATATGTTGTGGTGTTGGCTCTACTTATGCAGACTCATACATTTTGTACATCTACTTAATTTTTTCCCAATCTAACCAACTCAGTCAGTATTTTGTAACTTATAAATACAATATTTGCCACTTCCTGTATGATTGATGTTTATTTAAGAGTTATTGCATTTTTTGTCCCCATCACTATCACAGCAATATTGTCAGTATAGAAATCTTACAATTGACTTTCAACTTTCGCCAAATTTCAATGAACAAATTTAGTTACTGCTATGATACTAAAATTTGAATTCTTGGCCTTAAAGTTTGAGCTTACTTTTAAATCTTGATATAATACACACACACTATTGCAGCCGTTTGCAATAACTTAATTTATATTAAATTTCAATGCTAACCCTATTAACAATTCCAAAATGTGTTCATAATGATTTGGTCCAATCCACTTTCGACACTACTCAAAGGGTGGAGAAAAACCTATACCACAGTGCTATCAACCAAAACAAAGTTTCACTCAATTGCTTTTATATATTTTATATCAGCATCTCAATATCAGTCTCAATTATTTGCCTGATTCCTTCTTTTCCATTGGGCTTTGAAGCTTTTGGAAAAGAGTAGTGCACTGTTTATTATATTCCCCCTACAAGCCTCAAGGATTGGTCGGATTTTCTTCTTTTCTTTCTATTTTTTCCCTCAGATTTTCTTGGCAACCATACAGGATTTTTAGGCCATGCAGTTTTTGTAACAAGAATAAGCTGATGCTTTGTCCATTGTCCACTGTCAAAATCTTATTCACACTCTTAAACATGGAAGAGCTTGTCATATCCTAAGGATACATTTTTAATGGTTGGAATATTCTCAAAAACACTTATATTAATTATGCATCAAGCTGATTTTTCATAAATCTCTCTCATATTTCTAATATTCCTAACAGATTCTTTGTCATTTTCCAGTGTCAAGATCCTATACACAAGCACTCTTAATCTTATTGAAATGTTGGAGAAGATAGAAGGCCAATTTGTCACACACTGAATCTAATCCTTGACCTAGTCTGACATAGCCGGACATGTCCTTCCATATCTTCTCTAGTATCCTTCTGATCTCTCCACGTGGCACTCTCACTCGCTCATGGGTTTGTGCCGGTATTAATACATCTGGGGTCACCTAACCTTATACATACATATATATATATATATATATATAAGAAATGAATATATAATATGCTCCATAATCTTACTAGATTTACTATTAGCAAATAACAAATTCTCCAACATTTTTGTCATGACCCTATAAATGTCACTGCATGTATGAGAGCTTGAGCTTGTTTTTTATCACCAGACAGTGATCTCTCATCATTCCTTCACCTTCCCTCAACCTCCCTCTTATCTTCCATATCCACTTCTTCTTTTTTCTTCTTCATCTCCATCTTTTATCAGTAAATACACAAAGAGACAAATATGGGGAATTGCCAAGCTGTGGATGCAGCAGCACTGGTGATTCAGCATCCAAGTGGGAAGATAGAGAGACTGTATAGCACAATGACTGCAAGTGAGGTGATGAGGATGAATCCTGGTCATTATGTGTCTTTGATAATCCCACTTCAAGTTCCACATCAAGAACAACAGAATCAACAGGACCAGAACACTGTGCGTATCACCCAGGTTAAGCTGCTTCGTCCTAATGAAACTCTCACTCTTGGTCATGCTTATAGGCTCATCACAACTCAAGGTGTGCAAATTTTTTATGCATCATAGTGTCCATTCCACTCCTAATTTCTAACGATTCTCTCTTTAAAGGATCTGGGTTTTGTATAATTAATGGCTTCAGGCTTTTTTAGAGTCTTAAACAACCTTATGTGTCAATTTATTTGGTTTCAGAAGTTATAAACGTACTGAGAGCAAAGAAGCATGCAAAGACAAGGAAGCCACCACAGGCAGAGTCACCAGTACAAGAAGGAGAGAATTTTCACACGAGAAAGCCATATCAGGTATACTATTTCATAAAATATTATTCTTAACAGTGAATCCATCTCACTTCTCTTAAGGAGCTGAATGCCTGAATCTCACAGAGACAACACAAATATATATATATATAGAGAGAGAGAGAGATGACAACCATAAAAACATAAATTCAATACTTCTGACACAAGTTTTGGTTAGAAACTAAAGTTTCAAGACAAACTTTTTTCCTCAATGTTGAAAGCATATATATGTATTTATATGTATATGTACATGTACATGTAAGGTTATGAAATATCATGAACTGGTACTCATGTGTGCTGTGATTGCATGATGAATTGCAGGGAATGAGGGGAGAGAGACAGAGGGTGAGGATAAATTCTAGAAGTGCAGTGAGGTGTAAGTCATGGAGACCTTCTTTACAGAGTATCTCAGAGTCAAGGAGCTCCACGATGAAAAGTTGTGATATTCAAAGTGGTTCACACAGTAATATCATTTGATTTATCAACGAATGCCTCTCTGGCATGGCAGCACCAGATTCACCCCAGTTCCTGGTACCTAGCCACCACAAGATTTCTGTTTCATCAAACCATGCTCCACTAGAACACAATTTGTATAGCTCCAAGCGAAAAAGAAAAGTCATGAATGTATAAAAAATCTGGCAGACGTGAACTGTGTGATTAGTATATTTAAAAAAGCATCTTTTTTTCATCCTTACAAATTTATAGTGAGAAGTTTTATCAAATATTGCACGGAGCATGATAGTTGAGACTTTTAAAAGTTAAATAAACAATCCTGAAGTGGTTGTGGAGGAATAAAAACCAAAGTTTATAAGGAAGAGGCATCTAATCTAATGTTGCTTTGTAATTGGCAAATGATCAAATACCTTGCATGCAACTATAAGATGAGTGGTCAGAAGTTACGGACTTGTAAACTGGGAATCACTTTAATTGCTAAATCCTCATCAGCATCACGATAATGGCATTCTCTTAAAGATCCCCATCCAGGTAACTTGTTCTCTCCTTTGATAATGATTATCCATAACTGAAATTGCCGGTGCAGGCATGTTTGGATTGGTGTTGAAAAAGCGCTTTTTGTAATTCACTATGAGTTTTGACTAAATTCAACTGGTTTCCAGACACGCCCAGGTCGTCAGATTCGACTACTGTCAAATCCAAACTGTAGAGATAACTTTCGAAGAAAAAATTTCAGTGAGGCACCCTTGACTAGAAAAAATGAAAGAGATAACCCCTGAATTTTTGAAATTTCATTAAAGGACCCATGCAGATTTTTGTTTGACTTTTGTGACTAAAATGACAAAATTGCTCTCATTTAAATGAACACTATAAATGATTTATTATTTTCATACTGTATATTGTTAATTTATTTATGAAATATTGTTTGTTTCTTTACGCCACTTGTTTATAGCTCCAATTTCACTTGATTTTATTTCACATATTAGTTTCATAATAAAATAATTTATTCATTCTCATATTATATGTTGTTTATTTATTTATGAAATGTTATTCATTTTCTTACTTCACTTGTTTATAGTCTGGCCGAACTATAAACAAATGAAGTAGAGAAACGAACAACATTTTGTAAAAAAATAAATAATATACAATTTAAAAATGAACAAGTTAAATATTTATATTGTTCAATTGAATAAGGGTAATTTTTGTCATTTCTGTCATAAATTCAAAAGAAAATCTATAGGAGCTCTCCGGTGAAATTTCAAAAATTGAGGGGTCTTTTTTTCATTATCTTTGATCAAGGTTCCCGAACTTCAATTTTCCCACTTTTGGAAGTCTAAACCCATGACTTCAACAAGTCGCCGTTTTTGTTCTCTCCCTTTGAAACAAAGGAGAGGAGAGGAGACGAGGAGAGAGAAAGTGAAGAGAGAAGAATAACGAATGAATGTTAATTGCATTTTTTTTTTTTTACCCGTCACACTTTGTGGGAATCAATACTGTTCGAGACAGTACTAGTCAGCACTATTCTAACTATGGGCACCTCAGGATTCGGAAAAGCTTTTAATTTTATATAACAATTTACTTATTATATATATATATATATATAATTTCCATTATATATTACTAATACAATAAAAAGATAATTGTAAAGTATTTTATCTAATTTTAAATCTTATTTCTAAAATTAGTAAGTAAGATAATTTAAAAATTTAAAACTACAATCAAATATAACAAAAATGGATAAAGGATGGAAATGGAAACAAACAAAAAAAAAATTCATAGATAAATTTAAAAGAGCTATGAGTAAAATAAACCTTAAACTCTTGCTTGAAAAGCACCTTAAACTCTAAACTCTTAAAATGTGCAAAATAAACTCTAAACTTTTAAATACGTAACAAATTAAACCTTACCATTATCTTTTTATTAACGTTGTTATTGTTTACCATTATTATTCAATGTGGGCCCCAATTAAATGCTGATGTGGTAGTCCCTTACTGATGTGTCATTTGTTAATTAACACCACAAATCTTAAACTATTATGCGAGTAACGTACTAGTCCCAATCTTTAAGATTTCAAGCAAATTACTCCCACCATTTATGTATAGAACGTTGACTATTATGTAGATCAAATTAATCTCAGCATGGTTCACCATGATGAATGCATTATTAGCCGTGGTGAATGACCCATAATTTTGTGAAATAACTTTTTTTTTCCTTTTTTTGTAATATATTCCAAACGATTAGTATCTCATACTTTCATATACTCTATAACTTTGAATAATGTTTTTTATTTAATGGTAAAAATTTGAAATTCTATTGAAAAAGAAGTTTAAAATATCAGAGAATTTTAATTAACTGGTTAATTTGGGTTTAAAATTTATTGATAAAATCGTCAGCTTTTGCATCCATCATTTGTAAAATTCTATAATACTTTAACTTCTTTTCAAATAGGATCATAAGTTTTCGCTATGAAATAAAAAAATTATTCAAAATAAGACTAAATTAAAGTTATAAATTATACAAAAGCATGATATACCAATCATTTAGAAAACATTACAAAAAAAGTCATTTCAAAAAATTAAAGGTTGTTCATCAGGGCTAACGATGCATTCACTACGGTGTACCACGCTAAGGCTAATTTAGTCTATATAATAATCAAATTTTCAAATATAAATGGTGGGTAATTTGCTCAAAATTTTAAAGTTCAAGGTTTAAGATATTGCTTGCATAATAGTTTAAGATATGTAACACTAATTAACAAATGATATATTAACAAGAGACTGCCATGTCAACATTTAACCAGGGCTTATGGTGAACAATAACAACATTAATAAAAAATAACGGTAGGGTTTAATCTACTATAAATTTAAAAATTTAAGGCGCTTTTCGAGTAAAAGTTTAAAATTTATTTTGTTCATTAACCTAATTTACAAATGTAATTTTCTCTTCAAAATCTTCCTATTATAAATGGAGTAAAGTTGAAAAAAAAAAGTGGTTTCCTTTTTTTTTTCAAATTTCCTCAAGTTACATTTATTTTTGCCTAAGCCAAATAATGATAATAATAATAATTTTTCCCTCACTTTTTTCTTTTACTTTTCTCTTTGCTTTATTTTTTTCCCCTGACCAAGCACATGGCATTAGAATGACCATTCCATATGCATGTGTATGTATGTGTGCCAATAATGTTCCTATAAGGACCACATTTCCAATCATGCCTAAAAAAAATAGACTATTAATGAATATATCCATTCGGCGGAAGCATCTTTTAACATGGACTTGCACTCAATTTTGTCCCCATTGTCTTGATATTTATTTGTGTGAACTTTGACTTATATAACAAAATTATGCCTGCAGCATTTGATGGATGGTGGGCCGCACTATTTTAAATTATATTATATATTTTTACAGTAAGTTTGGTGTCCTACAGTAAAAAAAATGATCAGAATATTTTAATATATGAAAGTAAATTATTTGTGTGAACTTTGACTTATATAACAAAATTATGCCAGCAGCATTTGATGGATGGTGGACCGCACTATTTTAAATTATATTATATATTTTTACAGTAAGTTTGGTGTCCTACAGTAAAAAAAATGATCAGAATATTTTAATATATGAAAGTAAATTAATTGTTGATAATTAATTTTATTTTTTGAAGAAACATATAACGACCTTTATTAAAAATACGTTCTGTTAAAAAAATAACTTAGATTTTAGATGCATAGATTAGATAGTTATACATGCATAATGTTAATTATGAAATCAATTTAAAATTTTAAATAAAATTAAGAGATTCGAATTGTATTTTTATAATAATCATAAAAATAATTTAATATATGAGGAATATCACCAAAACTAAGCACACAAAATCAATTAATATTTGTAAAAATAAAATTTGCATACATACCAAGCCAGTGCACACAGCACACGCCTAATACATATATAAGAAGATTTTTTCTAATTTTAGAATAAAATAAAAATACCTTCAATTTTTGGTGAGGAAAACACGAACCACAACTATTGTCCCCTTGTTTGCCTGTGTTGTGGGCTAGTTTCTATATGCTCAATAGCAGTTCGAAATGAGATCCAATCCAAATTCAAAAATTTTAAGGAAACAGTTTAGATACTTAAACCTACATATTTATTATATTTTTCAAACAAATAAAAGTGATTATTTTATCAATTATTTACCCTCTAACTGGCTCCTTTTTTAAAAAACACTTTTGAGTTATAGTAAATTTATAATTTACATATTTTAATTTAATTAAAAAATATTTTAAGTATATAAGTTTATCTAACTAAACTTTCTTCATTTTTAGATGAAAATAGTTAGAAGATGTTCACAAAAATTAGCCATTTGATTGCTAGAAACTCGTTGGTGTTGGTGTTGTTAAACCAAAAGCCAACTACCAACTACTTGTTAAGAGATAATAATATTAATTTGAATGCCGTTTAGTGTGGAAAAAAAAAAAACAAAGAAACAAAAGAAAAGAAGATTATATAGTAGTCAGGGTCAAAGTTGCATGTATTCAAATCAAGATGTTGAGGATCTTGTTACTAGGCAATCTATAAGTAATTTTTAAACTTAAAAATATATTCTAATTATGATAAACTCAGGACTTAATTCACTTGAACTTTTTGCAAAAAAAAAAAAAAATTCATATTGCTTTTGAATGTAGAGGGATTTTAATTTAAATTTGAATTCTAATTTCAATCAAATTCATCATTTAAATTATAAAAATAGACCTAATCAAAAGTCTAAATCTGGCCTAGCTGTTTTGGCAATTAAGCCAAATTAGAATTCAAGTTTAAATCCCTCCACATTCAAAAGCAACATGAATATGGCCTAGCTTGTTTAGCAATTAAGCCAAATGAAGCTTGAAGTACACTACTAGAAAAATTAAAATTAATGATGAATATTTAATAATGGATCTCAAATCCATTGCTAATTATAGGTACTAGTAATTAAATTTTGTGACAGACTAAAATTTGTCACTAATTACATATATTAGTGATGAATTAGTGACAAATATATGATATCATTACATTTTGGTCAAATTTTATAAATTTAATAACATATTTAAATGCGTCACTAATTGCCGTCGCTAAATCTTTATATTAATAACATATTATTAAAGGACATTAATAATTAAAAATTACTAAAATGTGCTTAAATATTATATAAAAATAAAA